TATTGTAATTATAATTAAAAATATGTTGATACATAGCCAGTTAGATCATTTTTGCGTACATTGTTTTTAAATATTCTATGTATATTCTTTATATTCTTGYTACATATAAATTTCCAGAAATGTAAGTTCTTCTTGTGTCTGCTTTCTGAAATAATGTGACTCAATTTTCGAAAAAAAGTTCAATGTGTATTTGTATTGATTCTTTAATATTTGAKTCAAGTGATTCTTGTTTTTTTATATTTGMCTCTAAAATCTTCGTCTAAAAAACCATTTTTCATTTTTTCTTTAACAGTTTGTACCATTTTATCTGAAATAATAACGTATTCAAAAAAGAAGTTTTATATATTTTCACTCATGGAATCAGTATTAAAAAAACCATATCTAGTTCAATGATCTTGAACTACCGGCTATCGCATATCGATGTTTTGGATTAACTTCATCGATATGCCTACTTACAAAGTCACGCTGAATTTTCCCATCAGTCTGAAGAGACGAGGTCATTACAACCCGCGTCAGAATAGGACACACTCACCTAACCCGCTCCTTCCTCATCACCAAGGATGTTGGTGATGTTAACTCGTGAAGTTATCTATCAACCACATCATCACTAGATGCCCGAAATACTCCGAAGCTCGAACAATATTTAAAAATGCAACTTCTCTCTGACTTTTTTTAAACGAAGATAACACTGAAGTGATTTATAAATTTTATTGTTCTATTATATTCATCTAGCCCATAAATTGTAGATATATGTAAAATTTGTTTTGTTCATATTGTTAAAATTGTAGGCTAATAACATAAGATGTTGAAAGCTTATCATTATTTWAAAAAAAAAGATCACGCCGTTACAAAATCTGCCAGATTCCAAAAATCTTSGAAAATACATCTCATCAGTTATTATACTCTTACATTTAATTCTGAAATTCGTAGTACATGACCCTCACATGGATTTAGCATCAATAAGTTGCTTTTTCAAATTTTCGTATTGTAATCCTGAATTTTTATTTTTACGTATGACATTTTTCTTTCCTTTTGGTCAAATGCTTACGTTTTGCTTATGTTAACGTTTTTCAAATCTGAAAATGTAAAAGTGGCCGAAACAATATTAACATCCATTTCTTGATTTTTTTTCAATTTTCAATTTTCTTCATTGCTATCAAAATCTAATTTTGAATCATATTCAATCCAAATTCCTATTTAATGGGGTCCAGTCACTGCCCCTATCTTCAAAAAAGTGATCAGAACTTGGACTTTTCATTAAATTAAAAAAAAAAAAAAAAAAAAACACTTTTATAATATAAACGGATACGTATAACACGCGTAATAATGATATATGGGACATGGGTATACAAACAAAAATATAAAAAATAACCTTACCACCCCACACCCAATGACAAATGTTGTCACGGGTTCCCCCTATAAAAAAAAAAAAATGACAAATAATATTACTTTTGCGTATAAGTCTACAATAAAGAATGGCAATAATATTATGTCTATGTTGATTTACTAAAATAAATAAGTTATAAATTGAATTTTTACCAATGACTTGCATTTTAAACTAATTTTAAATTATGATATATATCATATTATATTTTTATAATATTATACATATAATGTCGCCAAATGCTTATAGTTGACATATTTAAATTTTTTAATTTTAAAGGAGTTTCTGGATTTTATAGATAGGAAGGTAGTTAGAACGTAAACTGTATACATATTCACCGTAGGTAGTTGTGACTAAACTACACATATTTCTATTGACTGGAAAATCTGCATTGCTCATGTCAAAACAAGTTTTATTCAATTTATCCGTTGTCATTAACTGAGGTGGCGACGTTAGTTCAAAATATGGGTCTTCACCGAATTGCCATTTATATCTTAACTTGACATAGCTTTCAATAACAAAATATGTCATTATAGATTCGCCTGATTTAATTTTTCTTCGATAATAGAAACTCGGTTTCTTCGGATAGGCCTTATTTGTTTCTTATCATACAAACATAATACAAAATAAATTATGTAAAAATCTAACTGTAAATATTAGTACTTATATTTTAATAATTATTTAAATTATATACAAAACGTCAAATCTATTTTCGATAAATCCCACTTGGGGCRCTGCCTGCACTCCGCGTTTCTTCCATGACATTATTCTACTTTACGCGCTCTTTCTCCCTTATCTCCTAACATTCCGTCATCGCTTTTCGTGTTTTCGCGCGCCGATATATTATATTGATGATTATTCAAATACCTTTATTAACTAAAAAATTATATTCCTATATCATAGAAAAAATGATTTTAATAATAATAAAAATATATTAATCGTGTTTTTCACAACTCAACCGTTATTTTTTATGCGTTACGTACGCTCCTCTGGAATTTAGGCTTTGCCTTGATTAGCARGTAAACTGTTTTAATAATGCACAATAAATGTAACCGTTTTAAAGTCGCCAGTCGCCACACACGCACACGCCACACGCACGACGCACACCAACTTCAGTAGTGTGACGGCCGACGGTGCGATAAGAAAAGAACTAAATACACAATTTTGGAAAGGTATTTATGTCATGGATATATACCCAGTACCCATCACTAATTATAGGTAAGTGATTTTTTAATTATACTTGTTGAATTGTTATTAAGCAAGTAGTGAGTAGTAATTATTTTTAATATTATTACACATATACGGGGTGTCCCGCGAGGATTTACCCATTGCGATATCTCATGAAATAATGGAGACATCAAAACTCTGGTTTTATAATAAGATTCACAGGGATGAGAACTATAATTATTTCGTTTTAAAATTTATTTTAATGTTTTGGTAAAAAAAGTTAAAAATATATTTTTATATTTAATAATTCCAAAAAAAAAATTAAAGATAGCCATTTTATGGTGTTTATTTTTCTGGAAATATTAGCAATTCAAAATTTTATTTTCATTAATTTCCTGAGTTTAATATTTTTTCTAGTTTTGATGAAATAAAATATGATTATAATTTGATAACTAGGTATTAGGAACACGGAGAGTATTCGGCTGGTCGTTTGGGAATGCGCGTGGCGCGGCGGGTTACATGTTTGATGACATTATGGTGTTAAATAATTCGCAATTAACTCGAAACTAAAAAAAATATTAAAAAACAGGAAATTAATGAAAATACAATTTTGAAACGTCAATATTTTCTGAAAAATAAACTCTACAASATTGCTATTTTTAATTTTTTTGGAAATAATTAAATATAAAATTACATTTTTAAACTATTTTACCAAAACATTAAAATAAATAAAAATATATAACAATTATAGTTCTAATCCCTGTGAGTTTTATTACCAAACCAGAATTTCGATATTGCCATTATTTCGAGAGATATCGCTATGGGTAAATCCTCACGGGACACCMTTATTACATGAATAACCCCGGAAAAAATAACCCTATAATAAAATTGATTTGTAAGGTGTACCTGCAGGAACCTACTTATTTKTAATACAATATAATTTCAATAATATAATAATAATTTAAAACATATTGTCAAATTTTTCAGTCACGGTAAATAATAATATTAAAAAAAGCGGGTAAGTGGGTATCGCTCTGCTGTACATTGGTGGTGGGCAGTGGCGTAGCCAGGGGGGGGGCTAAGAGGGCTATAGCCCCCCCCCCCATTGACTGTGTTTATTTTAGCCATAGTAGGCTATAGTCATATTATRATTTAATAATAAAAAATATCAATCTTTATGATATTCTTTCTCTTATCATTGTCTTATCATGGTTAATTCACACAGCGGCGTTTAATAAATGTATAGTACAACTGTACTTCGATAATACGAGCCTCGGAGCAGTCGGTGCCTACCTTTTACAGTTGTAACACTTGTACCAATAGGCAATAACTACTATCACAGTATCACGTCCTTATCTAATATGATGCAAAATCCATATTGTGATTATTGTTAACAGACATACACTAATAAAAATATAATGATAATTGAAATAAACATTTAACAAATGATAATTTATATCAAACATGCCGGTTACTGTAATACTGTTACGGTGTTACGCATAGTCGCATAGACAAACGACAAAGTTTATTACCTACTTTATTACTTAATTTAGTTTTTCTGTTACTATATTGATATTATATTATTATATATTCATTTTTTTTGTGTGTTTCGTAGCGAATAGTGGGTAGTGGGTAGTGGGTACGCATTTAAAATTATATAAACATGAGTGATAAACGGAAAAATGTATTTCCAATATTTAATATGAAAAAAAAATGCCAAGAAGTCTACTCGGATGAGCCAGTAAGTACAAATATCAAATTGCATTGACCAACTTAAATAATATTATGTTCTTCATYATAAATTCCATATGCTGAATTTTTATGTTTACAAATTTGAAAATTAAGTACAGAGTATTTCTATATATCTGATATTACTATAAAATTATAAGATTAACTATATTTTTTATACTTTACTTATGAAGATTAAGATTGATAAGGCTGAAAATGAGGAACTAACTATACCATCAACAACACCAATTACCATTAAATCTATTGAACCTGATTCTATTATTYCTAAAGAAACTGATCCTAATGAAAATATTAATGAAACGGTAAAAATTGTGTAGTTTTTAATTTATTTTTAATTTAGATTAAAGCCATTTACTGTCATAAGTGTAAAGTGTAGAATTAGTACAAGTGAATAACTATTATATTTTATCTTATATTTATTTATTTATATATATTGATAATTTTATAATCAATCTTATATTCAGATTCATAGATTTGCTTGTATGCTAATGCTTGTTATTTATTAATTCTCACTTAATAGGTTCTTGGYGCACCTGCTTGGCCCCTTAATGATATTGCTAATTTTATTGGAAAACAGCAACTAAATGCTAAATAAATAAATAATTGCTTGACGCTTGAGTGGAAATCTCCTGCTAACTATGTTTTTCCTGAATGTGTTGAAGGGAAACAAAAAAGGAGATTTCTACACAAATATTTAACAATGTTCCCATGGTTAGCTTATAGTAAATGCAAAGAAGGGGCTTATTGTAAATATTGTATAGTTTTTGCGTTTTCTGGAGGTGGTGTTGGCCATCAAGTAATTATTTTCTGCTTAAACTTATACCACCATAATAATATGAATAGTTTATAAATTATATAATTTGTTTTTATAGAAACTTGGAAAACTAGTTAAGTACCCTATGGTGAAGTATAAAGATGCATTGAAAGAATTACAAAATCATCAAAATAATGACTACCATCGTTTGTCCACACAAAGGGCCAATGACTTTTTAATTAATTTTGAAAATACAAATAATAAGTCAGTAAATGTGCTTCTAGATAAACATAAACAACAAACAATTGAATACAACCGTAAGAGATTGATGCCAATAGTTAAAACTATACTATTTTGTGCTCGACATAATATTCCATTACGTGGGCACCGGGAAATGGGTTCCATGGCATCAGGTAATGTCMGAGACTTTTGTTTAAATGGTGAGCAAGGAGTGTTTCGTGGTCTTCTTGCTTTTAGAATTGAATGTGGTGATACTGATTTATTGAATCATTTGGAAACAGCACCTAAAAACTGTACAATGATAAGTCCTCAGATTCAAAATGAAGTAATTGAAGCCATTGGCAGTGTAATTGAAAAAAAA